GACTGGGAAGGTACCGATATGTGTCTGGAAACCCTGTTTGATGAGACCAGAGCAGAGTCGCCTCAGTCAGTTTTATCAGACTTTGACCTTGATAAGTTATTTAAAAACAGGGCGTTGTCCCCGGAATCAGTGTCTTCAGATTTTGACTTTTCGCTCCTGCAGGACTGGTTGGCAGAATTTAGAGCATCCTCCCCAGAATCTGTGACTTCAGTTGAGCAGCGCTCTTTGTCTCCTCGTATGAGATTTGACCAGATGCAGACTCAGCATTGTAACTTTTACTTACAGTACTCTGAAAGTAGACCATTATCACCTTTTTCAACACTGTCAGATGTTGAGTATTCCGGATTTTGTCTAGAGGAATTGTTTGACGACAACAGACCAGATTCGCCAGATTTATTAACTTCGCCGGTTGACACTCAACAATCTTGCTTCAATGCACCTGCGTGTCATCATCCTTTTGCTACCAAACTTCTTACATATGGTGATGTTTTGAGAGGCATTGGACCTGAAAAAGAAGAAAATGTTGTTCTTGTTCAAAATCAATCTACCCCTAAGTTCTCTTTCTCTGAAATTAAACCATTATCTGCTGAAGACTCTGTTTCAGTAGATGATCCTCAAAATCTGATCCAGCTCAAATGTGTCTCTGCAATACCCACATCCTCAGACTTCAAAAATGAATACAGGGCAAGACACAAGCATGTCTTTTCCAACTTCATGTCACATTTGTATGATCCAGTCTATAAGGGAAAATGTTCTTGTTGTAAAATAAGTTCAATTGAAGCTACCGTTGAAAACCAGTCTTGCATGTTAAGCTGTATACCACAAAAACATGACATATTAGCTCCCAGCTCTGTAGAAAAACATTCTTCAGTGTTTTCTTTTAGTTTTCATAGAGCATCAGATGTCAAACCAGCTGATGAGTTTCTGTCTCCAAGTGCTGTCATCACTGGTCCTGTTTCACCAGCATGTCAAAGCAATTCTGGAATATCACAGTCTGGAACAATTGAAACGGGATCCACAGGGCATTGCCAGCATGCTATGGAAACTGAAGTAAATGACAGTTCTTCACTTTCAGAGTATGGGCTGTCATCACCTGAAATATTACATCCAGATGATGAAAGTCATTTTTATTTTACCTGCTTATTCACTGACCAGAGGCCACCTTCTCCAGACTCATTTGATGAGTTCACTGCTTTAACTCCTGATTCACAAATTCCTCAGTTTGACTGTCAACCTTGTTATGACATGCATTTGGCAGAAATCAGATCTGTTTCACCAGACTCCATAATGCTGGAGAGAGATTCTTCTGATTTGTGTCTTGACACTATGGTTGATGACATCAGAACAGAATCTCCCAACTCCATTGTGTTTGACAATGAACTTAATGAGTGCCTCAGCAATATGCCATCGGATCAGTATAGCCAGTCATTCCTTGATTTCTGGCTGTCTGAGTTAAGACCATCTACGCCTGAAATTCTTAAATCACTAGATATAGATGAAGTTTTAAACCAGCAGCCATGTGGGCCAAGTCTCCCAGATGAGACTGTTGATGCAGACAGTAGGCCTGTCTATAAGCAAGTCTCCGATGACTTAATGGCCCACGTACAGGATCCAGTGTATAAAGAAAAACATGTCTGTGATAAAGTTCATTTCTTTGAAGATCCAGTTGATAAATTGTGTGAGAAGACTTGTGATCAAAAGAAAATTGAAGACTTAACAGTTAGCACGGGAGAGCCACATGGCCCAGCCAAATCTTGTCATTCTGCAAGAACCATACCTGACTCCAAATCATTACAGGATTCCTCAGTATCTGACTCTACAGTGCCTGTTCTTACAGTAACAGATTCACATCCTCAAATGGTGATGCCACCAGCTGGAACTGTTGAGACAAGGCCCATAGCTTCCTCCTCAAACACAATTGATCAGTCTTTTTTTGTCAAACCTCCTCCCTGGGCAGCAAAGAACCTAGATTAGATCATATCAGGTCACACAGGATTAGCCAGTTTTGCACTGAATTGAGTCACATCCCATCTGTAGAACTAAATTTTGAATGTCATCATGCTGTCTGGCCGGAGGAGGCTTTCCATAAACAAACTCAAGCAAAGAGAGAATCAGTGCAACGAAGATCACTTGTGAAAAAACATAAAAGGACAGACCCTGAATCAGAGTTAAAGATGACACAACCCAGAGATTCATTTTCCAAGAACATGAAAAGAAAATCCATGACTGAGGACAAGAGCAAAAGTTCCTTGGTGTCGGTAAGACAGCGCAAGCTTTTGCTGAGCAGTGAATGCAGTGTTGCTTTCAAAAGTAATAAATATGGCAATACATAAGGTGTGAATGTAGAAGCTTTTACTAATGATGCCCAGAAGCGTCACTGTCTTGCTGTGGCATGTTTGCATTAGAGCAGAAGAAGTGATATGTCAGTGAAGCACGACTAATGGAAATTACAGTGACCCTGTCTTGGTGACCTGAGCTTCTTGTCCTGGTATGGAGCATTCTCATGAGCTACATAGACAAAGAGCTAATGGACTTTGTGATTCCTTTAAAATGCCTGACCTGACTGATTCAAGCCCCAGGAATTTCAAGTGCCTTGATTAAAACTGAAGTCAGTATAGTGATAATAAGTTGCATAGTTCTACTTAGATCTTGCTTTACAGCCTTAAGAATCTAAACCAACTGATGTACTTGCCATAGCTAGAAGCATGTACTGTTTGGTATGCACAGACTCCTGCTGTTTTCATAACAAATAGAACACAGACACATACCATTCCATTGGCACCCATATTTCCTATGACTATACCCTGGTGTCACCCATATCCATAAAAGCTGAAATTAGAATTCAGTTCATTGCAAAATTAAATGTGATAACATAATATCATATCTGTAGCTAGACATTGCCTCCTGCCCTTCTCCCATCTCCTGTTGTCTAAAATGTCTAAGCAGGGGGCACAAACAATTGTTATAACATTGCACTATGCTTTTCAAAATTTGGAATTATGTTAATATAGCAATCTGTTTAAATTACTGTAATAACAGAATAATTTACCTTTTTGGGAGATGGGGCAGACTTGCAGTAGAACAGACAGTATTAGCATTGACTGTGACAAATACTGTATACTGGTGGGTTTAGCATTGTCATGGGAAGTGCACTGTTTCCAGCGAACACTTACCTAAATGAGTAAATGATGCATGTTCACCTCCATGTTACACCAAATTCTATTTTTGACTCAAGTTCACTTGTGCCCTTTTATTTTTGTAAAATGATATTGTGTTGTCAATGATGTTCTCTACGCTTAACATGCTATACAAAATACTATTTAAAAAGTCTGAATTTTTTTCAGCATCTTAATCAGTCATTACATATGTAATGTGTTTTGAATTGTATGGGGTCTGTAAGATAAATATTATTGGCATGTATAAGATACTGCTGCAATGACCTAAACACAAACGGGCTACAAGTGAATTTTTTCATTGGAGACACTGCTATCATGTACAAATCCAGAGCCTGTCACTGACAAATGCATGCTTCATTTAAGTATTTCTTTCATCACCAAAAGAAATCACAAATCATATTTATTTATATTTTTCCACTTCATTGTATCATTTCTTGCAGGAATCAACAGCATCTTCCAGGGCAAATCTTTCAGAATCTTCAAAACAAAAAAATGTTCATTTAGGACAGACTCAGGTGTTTCCAACCGAGTCACCCTCCTTGGCACATGATTCTAACACACGTTCCACTGAAAAACTAGAATTACCACTACCATGTACCTTTGACCTAGGTCAAACACAATCTGAAATCACTTTGACAAATCAAAGTAGCTCACCACAGGAAAAAGATGAAAACATGTCGTTCCCAGAACAAATTGAAAATTCTGGCTTAGCTAAATCAAGCTCAGCAACCCCAGACTGCCTTTCTCAAACAGCTCAAGAAAGTCAGGACGACCAAATCGTCATGTTCTCCACTCCAACATCACCAGAGTCTGGGTCACCTCAGCTTGACCAGCTGCTGTCAGATCTGAAGGAGATGAAACTTAAATTTAGACCAGAGACACTTGACCCACGTCTTTCTGAAGTCAGTGATGAAAGCCCTGGAGTTCATCAAATTTATAAATTTGAAGACCTTTCACCTGATGATCAATGTCATACAGAAGATAGTGATAACCTAAGAGTCAGTGTGTCATCTGATGTAAAGCTTGTAGAAGATACTAAACACACAAATGTGACAGTCACAGAGCCTGAACACTTACAGACATCTATTCAAGAAGAACCTGAAGTGGTCTTAGTCACTCCTGATCTAACAAAAACCTCTGAGGCAAGTGTCCCATCAAGCCTTGGTAGTAGCAAAGATAGTCCTTTACCCCCTTTTGAGTACCTTTCAACTCCAGAGTCTCCCCAGAGATCATGTGAAGTGATGGAGTCACTGGACCCAAGTTTTCCTGTGGACACATTACAGTCCAGCACATATGATGAAAATACTCCCGAGACATTTTCCTCAGTGTCATCCCCCAAATCAGCTGCAAAGAGTCTGTCTGACATACCTGAGGAACATCTGGCTAATCTTTGTGAGGAAGATCCTACAAATGACATTCTTCAAAGTCAAGATGAACTCGAATCAGCTACATTATCTAAAGGCTCAGTGGGTTTGACAGAAGAAATCTCAACACATAGTACCAAAGATCAACTTCCAAATTTATGGGAGACAAGTTTTGTTGAACCCTCTCAGAATGAAGATGTCTCTTCTCAATCTCTTTCTGATTTGACTCCAGACACAGTTACATCTGCAAGACATTTTTGCTTTGAGGAACTGATTCCGTACCCATCTGCAGGGGACTTGGAGACATCTTCAGATGAGGACAGGCCAAGGACCAGTGGACAACATTCAGAAGAATCTCTGACTCCAATAGATCCTGAGCGTTTTGGCTCTCAACCCACTCCAGTTGAACACAAAGCAGAGGGGACTTCATCAACCTCCGATGAGGAGTACAGCATCCCACCTGGGTATGCAAATATCTCTCCTACTACAGCTGTCAATACCCACATGCCTCCAGAATACGCAGAAGTTGTGCATAGTGGTGCAGACAGCCCAACTGTTGAATACTCTGACCCAGAGCCTTACTTTGACTGCATACAGGCTGCATCAGATTTCTCAGAGACTGAGCTTGATGAACCTGAGACAAGTACCAGGTCAAATAAGGATCAGCCTCAGGCTCATTTTAGCCATCCTAGAGTGCTAGACAAGGGGAATCGAAGAGTCCTGTTATCTTCTGGAAGTGAAGACTATGAGGATGCTCCTTTTGTCTATGAGCCTCTTTATAATGTACCTGAAGAGAACAAAGAATTATTACAACATTCAGAAACATCGGATGAAGAATTCACTCTGTGTGAGGCTTCACAACCGCCTCCTGTCTGTGAAATTGGGGCATATGATGATACTGATAAATCTCTGACAAGGGTAAGATGAATATTGGTAAACCACCCCAACCTGCAAGCTTTTTTTTCCTGGAGCTGAGCTTAACCAAACGTTATATTTGCTTCAGAGAGGAATGACTGCTAACCCTCTGGCCACATGGATGGGATCTAAAACTCCTCATAACCCTTATCTTATTTTGATTTTATATTTAACACATCCTAACTCAGCATGTCACTGTGCTGCCTGTAACCGGCTGCATCACACAGTAATAACTTAAGTTCCACGTTTTTTCATCAGTGAAAGCACATTCATTCTTTAACTGAGTGAAAGCATGGTATGTTTTGCAAATGTTTTTCCAAGTTACAGACTGACATGTTGCACTTTGCACGATGTGAGATATGAAAATGAATTGCAAAATTCTCAAAAGTCAACGGAAAGTGCATCATATCACTCTGCTTATCGCTTGCTTTGCTGCAAACATAGCATTCATATATTGTCAGTTATGAAATCTTAATGGATTTTTGTTGCTGGGTCAGGAGATCAACGCAGAGCTCGGATCAATGTCAGAAAGTTCAGATGATGAATTTTTGACCACCAGGATAGTGCGAAGGAGAGTTGTCATTCAGGTATATGAGTCAGCATGACTGATGGCGTTTTAAATGAGCATGGAGGGTGTGACTTCCAGAGTGCAGGCTGGGTCTTTCACTTTCAGGTTAAAATGTTTACTGTCTAACAGCCTTTAGTCTCATCAAAATGAGTGGAAAATGTGTGTTTGAAGATTAAGGTAGGGTTTGTAAGAGACCTTCCACTTGATTTGCATAGATGGCTGAGCCTCATAGAGGTGTTTCATGCTGCTGTGAGCACTTTGTTTTTTTGTTAATTATTTTTATGTATTTATTTATTTATTTATTGACACATGCAAGTTTGTTACCTGTATCCCAAAGTCCCTATTCTCCCACTAACTAATACCTATTTTTCCTCTAACATAATTGCATTTATTTTTGAAGTGGATAATGAAACATAAACATTACATTGATCCCAGATGGCGTTTCTGATTTTGTCTGTCTTGTTTCCCTTGTAGGCTGATGATATGCCTGATCTCCCCACTCAGTCGGTGACGGAAGAAAAATACAAGGATGAAAATGGACACATTGTTGTCAAGAAGGTAAAGCAAGATTCTATATAAGCCCTAATGCAGATATCACATGGCAGTGTATTGTGACAGTGTATTAACTGCTAATGTGGATTTTGTGGATTGACAAATTAAGAAAAAGAAAAACAGTGAAAGAAAATCCAATTTAAATTAAACAATATTTCATTTGTTTAATTTCAGTTTAACAAAGCTTACCAAAGGCTTTTGTTGCCCTGTGGCTCCATTTCATTCAGAAACAGACAACGGTTTCCGGAATGTGGTTGGTTACCTTTTCCTTTAGAAAAATGCCTCACCACCTAATGGTCTTTGAACACATGATCTTCCTCAGGTTACGCGTAAAATTATCCGCAAGTGTGTTTCCGTGGATGGTGTGGAGTGTGAAGAGGTGTCATTAGAAGGACCTCCCCATGAGTCAATCAAAAAATCCGAGGGAGATGGATATTCGAAGGTAGTGAAGCGGACCATAGTGAAGAGTGAAGGAGACCACACTGAGGTGCGTGTACTGTATATTGTGTCTGTGTTCATCATCGGGGGTGTTGTAGTCGGGGGGAAGGTAGGAAAAAGCAAGGAGCCCAGTGGAGGGGGGACTCTTAAAAAGCCTGGAATGAAAAGTTTGGTTGGCTTGAAAGACTGAACTTTGTGTAAAGAAAATTATGGAAGCTTTCTGAGGCTCCTCTTACCAGGTTCTAAGAGAGGAGGGATGAGGGGCACACCGAGATTGCTCTGCAAAGGGCCCCAAATTCAGTGCTACGGCCATGTTCATCATCATTGTATTCTTTTTAACAGAAAACAGCAGACACAGCAACGTTCATATTGGTAGTGTATGTAAAAACAATTAAATAACAGCTTTTTTCTAACTTAGGTAACATTTGCTGAATGTGCGGGATTCTCAGCATCAAGTCAGGAGACACCTGAAGGTTGTAAGGTCAGTCGCGTAGAAAGGACAACGGTGGTGGAGGGTGAAAGAACAATGACACACCAAGGGGATCCGTCTCTGGCCTCTGACTTCCCCTCAGCCCAAGACGACTTCAAACAGGTTTGTTATCAACCTTGTCACCATTATTGTACATATTGCAGCTAAACTACATCTCTTGTGCAGCACATAATTATTTCACATACATATGTAGAGGTAAAAAGACTCAGTTTTTTGTTTTTCATAATTAAATCATTCCAAATGAAGTGAATACTGTTTTCTCCTTTTTATATCACCAGGCACTAGGTTATATAAGTGGTGTTAGTAGAACAGAGCTCCCTCATGTGGTAGAAAGCGAGACTGTCAAAGAAGATGGAACTGTGGTCAGGAGGTGTGTGAGTGTGTGAGACTGCTTTTATTTTGTGAGAGTGAAGTTTGACAATGACAGCCTTGCATTAGGTTTGTCAGTTTTACTAATGTTGACTAATGTTGCTAATGTTTGGATCATTAACCACCAGTGTTAGGGAAGCTGCTTTGAAAGCATAGCTTTACAAGCTGCTAACTCTACACTGGAAGAAGAAGTTGCAGCATGGTAGTGCAATGGTTAGCACTGTCGCCTCACAGCAGAAGGGTTCTGTGTCTGAGTCCGCCGACCAGCTGGGGCCCATCAATGTGGGGTTTGCATGTGTCAGTGATACAAACTCATAAAAAAATAAAATACACATTCCAGCTAAAAATACCACTCAGTTGAGTTCATTGCAAAAACTGCCCACTTGTTTACAGGTCCTACATGAACCATTAAAATAAACCAAAATGCAAAACCCTACTTTTCATGAGAAAGTGCAGGAATGTCGGCATTGGTTTTGTAGACAATGTACAATATACAATCAGTCAGACACCTGCCTTCCAGAAACTAGAGTCCAGGTGGACTAATTGCACCAAACAAGATTAGTCAGTTTGCCAGGAAACTATAAAATAGCACACAATTTCTTTTAAAATTAGTTAATAAATAGCAATAATCTGTTTATTATTCTGGCTGACTGACACCTAATATTTTCATGTGTAGTTTTACAAATTCTGTCTTGATCAGTGCATTGCCTGGGCAGGCCTTCACAGGATGGAAAAAAAGGGGGTGGGGCTGGTTAAAGGGGGTCAATTACATTAGAGAAGCAGTGTAAGATAAAAATTAAAAAATGTTCCTTTCCATTTATGGCCTGCAATTGTTTGTAGTTTGAATAATTAACTAAAAAAAAATTAATTACTTAATTCACAACGCAGGGTACTATAATAATTATATTTGAAATTCAAAATGAGGTTACCATATTACAATCGAAAGTAGTAAAATTCGTTGGTAATTTATATTCATATACAGTACAGGCCGAAAGTTTGGACACACCTTCTCATTCAATGCGTTTTCTTTATTTTCATGACTATTTACATTGTAGATTCTCACTGAAGGCATCAAAACTATGAATGAACACATGTGGAGTTATGTACTTAACAAAAAAGGTGAAATAACTGAAAACATGTTTTATATTCTAGTTTCTTCAAAATAGCCACCCTTTGCTCTGATTACTGCTTTGCACACTCTTGGCATTCTCTCCATGAGCTTCAAGAGGTAGTCACCTGAAATGGTT